AACCTGAATAGCAATTCTTTTCACTTTTAACTGCTGACAGACTCAGCGATCATAACTAAAAATTATGCGCCGCCTATTGAATTCGGCTCCACAGGTGGGCGGAAGTTTATGAGCCGGTGGCGTTATGGGGCAGGCCCGAGTTCACCACTATTGACAGATGACTCTAAAACGCTGCCGGGCCGCGGATGACAGTTATGACGTAATAAAAGGTTCAGCTGGCAGCCAAAGTTGGTGAGGTGCGAGCGAGCGATCAGAGATCGGCGCTAGGGGCCGACGGTAAATCGAAGGTCGCCTTCCACTCTGTGATTTATTGCCAATACCTGCTTATTTTGCTAATTTCAGATGCTTCCGGGGAAAGGACCTGAAATGTCCAGCCTGTTAAACCTAAGCAGCTATGGACAAATATTTCAATGTTTATGAACTATATCGTCAGTCACTTGAGAGATAGGTAAACAGACAACATTTTATCTGACAAAAGTAGCACAATAGTTGGTTCTATGCTTTCAGATATCACTGAAATCTTCGAATAATTTGACCAGCGTGCAAAACATTTATCGACTCAAGCAAATAAATATAAATGTTCGCAGTCCAACAAATGGATAAACAACGCGTCGCTTTCTCTCAGGATTTACACTCAACACAGTCAATTTATCAGCTCAGCAACTACTGCCTCCATTCTGGTAAAAGTCCGTCCCGACAAACAACTGTCAAGTACAGTTGCCAGCCGACAGAATATAAGAAAATGATAAAGCTATAGACCATTGGCATTGCTGAGACATGCAAGCTCGGATTGCTCATGGAAGGACAAAGACAAAGTCCTGCAATGTCTGAATTTTAGCCGAGCGCCGGGCCCGGGACTTGAAATTTGTATCAATGGCAAATGCAACAGCATCATTCATAACCCTTCGAAGCCGCCCGAAAGGTCAGACGACTCGTGTTTCACCGAAGAAAGCGCGACTACCTAGAAACAATGCAGTGCTGCGATGTTGCTAAAATGTCAGCGGCCGACACCAGCGTGGGTTAACCAATAGCCATCTCTGCAATTTGCAGCACATGAATGACGATTTTCCTACAAAACCACCAAAAGCTCCGGCATTGTCATGCTCTTTTCTCAGCACAATTAACTGATGCTTATCAAAGGGGTCATTATGACGAGCTCCAGAATGAAGTAGTGACCAACAGTCGATGACTTTCTGGAAGTCATAAAACGCGTAAACTATCCTCTGTAAAGGTGTAGCTCATCATGCAATTGCCATTGCAGAAGCACGCAGCACAGCATCACCAAAAGCGTGAAATAAAACGAAGCTACGAGTGCATCGCAGCATTGCAGCAAGACACGCAACGACATTCATTACATTACCATTTAACCCTCGCCCATGTAGGGGGGGGGTTGGTGCACCCCCCCCCCCCCCTGAGGTTTTTCGGAAATAGTGCAAAAACGGCGGCGCGCAGCGCCGCCAAATTTTGGGTACCTTATGGGGCAAACCTTGCGCATCTTTTGATAAAAAAAATTTGACCGGGTCATGTCAGGTCACGGAGTTATGACGTCACAAAGGGAACAGCCTCCGGCCGGATTTTCACAAACTGAGTGCCAACGCCCGAGGTTTCCTGCCGGTGGTACGGACATCGGTTGATGGATCGTGATGAAACTTCCCATGCATGTTGGGGCAAGTATTGGCTATCATATGGTATAAGAAACTTGACCGGGTCAGGTCAGGTCACGGAGCTATGACGTCACAAGAGGAACAGCGTCCGGTACTATTTTTGAAAAGCGCCCGAACCACTATTTTGCTAATTTTTGTCACCTCAATGGGAATATGCAGCAATATTAGCTTCTATAGGGAGCAAATGGACCTCCCAAATCCAAAAATACAATCAGATTTCAAAAATTTAAATTTTGATTTTTCGAATTTCTGCCGCCGACTGTGACCTTGCCGACTTCCGGCGCTCCCAACGCGCCATTTTTAGAGCTAGGGAAACGAAATACATACCAAACGATAGAGAATTGATCAAGGAACACGATAGTGAAGGTTTCAAGTCGATATCTCCCACCGTTTTGCCGCAATCGCCGCGGAAAGTTGAAAAAAGTATATTTTTCCGAAAATTTGACCTTTGACCGGTCAAAAGTAGGTCAAATGTTGACCTAGGACCAAAAAATATACCACCAATCGCGAGATCTCGGCGAGAGCAATCCGTTGGTCTTTTCCGCTAAGCTCTACGACGCTCCGTTTTCAAACGCCAAGGGGGGGGGGTCGCACCAACCCCCCCCCTACATGGGCGAAGGTGGCAGATCGCCGTTTACGGGCGAGGGTTAAGCATGTGCGTAGCCAGCATAAGCAAAGACAAATAAGGCTTCTAGTAAAACAATTAACAGTCTGAATAAATTATCCCGTGTAGAACGACTGCTCACAAGCAGCACAAACATGATTTTTCTTTGAATCATTGAAGCTTCCAGCCAAGGCCCTAAACACAGCAATGCCTTGGAAATGCTGGTAAGCATTGCCTGCACTACCTCGTCGACCTCGTCCACAAACAAATTATTCAGTAGAAAAGCATACACTCTCCTCGTCAAGTACCCACATCTTGCCGCCGCTTGACGAATCAGTCTGTCCATAATTATCTAATTACCCGGGCACCCATTAATCAACCTACCAGTGAGTGCATCAGTTCTTGAAACTGCATGTAGCTGTATGTAAATTTTGAGCGCGAGAAAGTCGCTGTCAGGTGCCGCACACACATGTCGCACACAAAACATCTCGAGTACCTATCGTACAATAATGAGACCTGTCTTCTGTGTGAAGCATCTACTGCGCTTCCCTGTCACAGCTTTGGAAAGGTTCGTGACCTTCCTGCGCCCGCCGGGACCCGTTTTAGGCCCGCCGAGACATCCGTGATGTTTGAAGGCGCCGGGCGATATCCGCGGCACCCATTATGATATCGTGACGCTCCGTCACGCCGTGTCACGTCGGTCACGGTTCGTGACAGTCCGTGACGCGGCGGCAGTCCATCCGGGAGTTTCAGGAAACTCCGGCGGTCGATCGCGATCAGTCCTGCCCAGCACTGACCTGAGCTGGCTCGACGACCGGGTCAGCCTAGCAGCAGCACAAACCACCTCGCACAGGAATCAGTACCTGATGGACACCGGCCTGATGCAACAGCCGCCTTCGCCGCAGCCGTAACGCATTTTCGCGAAAATGGACCCGCGCAGGTAATCGCCTCATGTCCATCAGAAGGAAACTGCCCACACGATTCAGCTCCCCGGCCACAATGTCAGGCTCAGCGGGCGCAAACCGGATCCGCGAGGCAGGGCGACAGTCGACGGGCGGCGAGACCCGTGCTCAGCCACCGGCCGCAGGATGATAACCGTAATACGCCTCCAATGTTCCCACGCGGAGTCGCCGGTAAAAGCCAGCAAAGCAATGACGCCAGGGAACCATGGTGATAAGCTTAACATACAATACAATGCTTCATTGTTGAAGGCTTCGAACAAAAGGTCAGCCCACCGTATTAGATTTTGTTGAACTAGTCGAGTTGAGCAGCCAATGAGGATGTTCGCGACCTTATGAAGTAAATATGGCGAGACCTAGTGGGTACTTAGCGAGTATTAGAGGGTACTTAAGACGGCGGGTACTTTTTGCCACTCCCTGTCTCTGAAAGGACTGGACTAATATCCAAAAATAAAAGCGGCGTTGTGTAGCCCAAACAAACTTGTCTACCGGTTTTTAACAACCGCTCATATATGTATTTGTTCGTGGTGCCGGTTCTGCTCCAATCCCCGTGGCAGCACGGCATCTCCGCGGTGCGCCACGATCGGGTGCCGTTTGATGTCCGATCTTCACCCGGTCCGGGCTTTGCGCGACGGAGCGAGAGGCCCACTTCAATCCTCTCCGCGGCCTCATCAAAACACTACCACGCTCGCGGTCCTCGGCGGACCACTGAAAGGCCGACGGGCCACGACGCGCGCTGGCCCGACCAACATCGTTATGCGGATCAACGCTGTTCACAAACCAGATGCGAAACGGGTTCCGTAGACGAAGAGTACTTAATGACCATACAAACATCTGAGAACAGCGCACAAGCGAAAAGAAGCCTTTGAAAAGGGAGCACTTCAAACACAAAACTCATCATTAACATGGTCCTGCGTGAAAAGTGCGCAAGCATATCCAGCACTCAGCCGCCATTCTCACGGTTTTGGCATTCAAAACGAATTAACCCCAATTAGTATTTCAGTGACTGGATCATGCATCGGCGGATGACCCTCTCGCAGCGACTGATTCCATCGCCATTCCTTAGATATTGCGCCAGCAGTGCGCTCTCTCAGAATGTATGGCTCAGCGCAGCTCGGGCCATAAGGACGGTCGAGTGGACATTTTGGAAACCGATCGTATGGCGCGACTGACAGTAGATAGTAGTCGAAAATATGCTTTTTATTTCGTCATATCCAACGCTTTGCCCTATCGGTACAGGAAAGTCCCCTGGGTGCAGGCTATTTAGCAAAACTTATTTCACATGAATGCAATTCCAACTATATTTCAAGAAGAGCAGCTGCATGATCGGCAAGGGACAATTCCTTCAATATCTGCCTGGATCTCAGCGGCTCTATCTGTGAAGAATCGACGGTAGCAAACTCTACTAAGTATTGCTTCATCTAAATTTCATCATACCGATTGGCGATTGTATTCTTACATTTCACATGTACCCCCGCGGGCCCTCAACTACAGACGCGATTTTAGCTCGAACCTTGAGGCGATTGCCCAATAATCAAACAATCTCTTCCAAGCTAGTAAATCTATGTTATCCTGGGATAAATTTATTCACCCTGCTCTTTTTATCTTGCTATCCCGCTCTACCTCAAGCTATATCATATGATCATCTCCTCTCACGGATCTCTCTCCTTCTCTCCCTCCCGTCCTCTCTCTCTCTCTCTCTCTCTCTCTCTCTCTCTCTCTCTCTCTCTCTCTCTCTCTCTCTCTCTCTCTCTCTCTCTCCCTCTCCCTCACCTGAGACGGCGTCGCGCACCCGCAGCCGGGCCAGGCTGGGGATGCGGCACTCTGACGACTCGACGAGCGACAGCCGCCGGCTGCCGGGGGCGGGCCGCTGGGAGCCCGGAGTTCGGTACCGCGGAGTCGTACCCGCTGCCGCCGCTGGACCACTGCCGCGGGCCTGCCGAGAGAATGGGCAAGGGCGGTCAGAGGTGCAGTCGGGTTGTGTTGTGTTGTGTTGTGTTGGATTGGTTTGGTTCAGGCCGGGTCGAGTCGGCTTCAAAATCTAACCTACAAGAGGAAACGCATGTCACCTCTCACATTCAGCGCAGGGAATTCTTCGGCGTTTTATAAGCTTATAAACAAGGCGTCGAATCAACCTCACAAACAAGCAAAACACCATAAAAGCTCGAGTTGAGCGTTGCGCACTAGTCTGTCACACAACAAATTGGTCCTCCATGGGAAACGATCACACCTGTTTCCGATGCTCCCAACAAGCTCGTGCATATTTCACCAAAACCCCCGGTCTGATCACACGCCGGGTTGGCGAGCCATCGCAGCGGGGGAACGAACCGGTGGCACACGCTATGACCTTTGCACCTGCTTCCTCATTCATACCATAGCACTGTAAATATGACGGCCGCGTGCGACGAGGCCCTCAGCGTGGACGGTGCTCTAACAAGTCTGTGCAGCTGGATGGAGGGCGGCCGGAAAACATTCAACACGGGACCGGTCGCAACGAAACATAGCTGTCACAGCCCTGACGTTAAGTGCGCAGCACCACATGACGTAAAGACGGCGAGACCTTGAAGCTGCAAAGGGAATACTGTCAATGAAGGATTTTAAACCAACATTTTTAACTTGAGCTTAATACATCAGCAGGCCCCAATGAGTTAAATCTATGTAACTTTTTATTTATCTGGATAAGAACACATAAATGGAAATACAGGGTGGACCAAAAAGGATGGAAACATTTTGAACTCGCATAAAACATGCATTATTGCATGCATGTGACTGGAAATGGTACCAAACGAGAGTACATTTCGTGGAAATTCATAACGGCATCACTCTCATCTGCTTTCTTTCGTTTTCAGTCTCTCACAGCAAATGTTCGAAGAGACCGCCTTCGCGAGACAGGCACAGAGCGGCCGGTCTGGTGGCTAACGCGATAGCCCGACGACACATGTTCGCTGGTATGGCTCACACAGTCTTGGTGATCGCTCTCTTCAGGTCACAGAGACTTTCCTTGTAGACCTGGCCCTTGAGATGAGATGATAAAGAAGTCACTGCACAGCAGCAAGGTCACCGAAATGGTGTTCCCTCAGCGGAAAAGGAATCGTGGGTCCACTTTGGTTCGAGGAAGGGAGCGGCGACACCGTGACCGTCAATCAACAGCGCATACCAGGCGGCGCTGAGGAAGTTCTGAGAGCGAGTCCAAACGAAGCATGCGCAGCCTCATCATAGACCTTATGTGGTTCCAGCAAGACGGTGCGCCTCCTCACATCGCAAAAACAACGCTCAAGTGCATCGAAAACCACTTCGGTGACCGGCTGATATCCCGCGGTGCCAGTCGGAACTGGCCTACCTGCTCATCCGACCTGACCCCAAAGGATGTTTTACTGTGGGGTCATCTCAAGGGCCAGGTCTACAAGGGAGGTTCAGAAAGCCTCTGAACTGAAGAGAGCGATCAGCAAGGCTGTGTGAGCCATACAAGCGGGCTATCGTGTCAGCAGCCAGGCTGGTCGCTCTCTGCCTGTCTCGCGAAGGTGGTCACTTCGAACATTTGCTGTGAGAGACTGAAAACGAGAGAAAGCATATGAGAGTGATGCGATTATGAATTTCCACGAAATGTACTCTTGTTTGGTATCATTCCCAGTCACATGCATGCAATGATACATGTTTTATACGAGTTTAAAATGTTTCCATCCTTTTTGGTCCACCCTGTATTAGCAATTTACGATCAAACTAAACCATTTACTCAGCTCGCATGTCCCGCGTTGCTTCAAAAGAAAATATTCTACCAGTGAGAAAACATTTTTTTTTTTTTGAAGAAAGCGAAATGGTAGTCACCAGTAGGTACCGCCATACCTCAAGCAGAAAAAAAATACCATACAGAAACCATCTCTTAATTCTGAGTTCCCACGATGAAGGAAGTATGCAAAGCCCCTTTCTGCGTACCCAAATAAGGTCAGCAACGCGTACAATCCTATCGGAACACGATCTAGACATGTTTATTACAAGCAGAACTTTGGAAGCCGTTTCCCAGCTAAGCTGTGAACTTCCAGCTATTGTGACGCTGCTGGTGAAATTGGTTCTCAACAGCATCCCGGCCTATTGAACAGTCAGTCACATTGGTTATTCGATAAATACAGCTGATAAGTATAAATTTGAGCCGGCGTAGAACGTGTTGAACTAAGTGCTTTGACTAGTCTCATCCAATGAAACCTAACACTATTAAGCCCAACTTCATCAAAATACATCCTAGGCCTCACCCTTGACAATAAAGCAGGTTCACGTTAGCCGTCAGCAACGTTGATAGACATATGTCTGAGTGCTTGACATCTAAGAACGAGCTGGCTATTCGCGCGACAAACGGTCAAATGCACTTCAGGGTCGCATTTAATGGACCGAGTTGGAGAAGGTAGTCGCCATGTCGGACATGTGAGCCGTTCAACGAGCAAAGTTTGCCACTTAGAGCCACTTAACCCGACCTGGATAGCGTTATCATGACAGACCTTGAAGATATAATCAGTTCTGTACGCACTCGGCAGTGTCGAAAATATATTGCAACCGGAAGGCAGACTTGTTGAATATTACAAGTTCCCATACTGCGTGAGGCATTGTCAAGACTGAAAATGATATCTATTTACCAAGCTCAACAGCAAGCATGCATCATTTTTAAGTGACAATAAGTGACCTAACATCCAATCGATCGAACAAACTGCTGACTTGGCAGCTGTCAATGGTCAGCAGTCAGCACTCAGCATGCATATAGATATGCAGTTTGCGCATGCCCGACAGGGTACTGAATGTTTGAGAGCCAGACGACCAAACATTTAGATTGCATACCTACTCGGTCATTCAACCAGAGAAAAAGCAGTTCCATAACAAGCGATTTATCATTTTGATATGTCTCTAGGAAGCATCCATGCCACAAACAAATTGATTCTGATTCTCTCTTTCCAAGCGTAATTTGCCCATTAACTGCAACTTTTGACACGCTTCATCGAACACTTTCAACTGGCCCACACATTGGCTCCGACCACTCTCATCTAGTTGGAACACAATATTCCCGGACAAGTTCTCCGCAAAACAGAGACAAAAAGACGCTAGGACGAGGAGAGCTGACGTCTTCTTTTCAAAAGTTCCGACCTAATCAGAGGTTCGGTCAAAAATTGAGGGTCAGACATCTGCAAAAGAAGTTATGGGGCATAATGGACCGTCTCGCAAAAACGAGGACTGTTAAATCCACTCAGACTGTGCAACACATAATCACACGGCGGAAATATTTATCGATCATCTACATTTTTATTTAGTCGGACCTCTCCCTAACGGGCTCCTGTCCCAATTATAGGAGAGAGCACCTGCTCCTCCCGCCGTCCTATTCCCCACTCCCCAGGTTTTGTTCCCCACCCCATTATTGCAGTCATTGAATAAACACACTGAAATTAAATGGAAATAGAAAATAAAGACGGTTAGACAGAAGACGAAGCGGTCCCATTCATACACACACACACACACACACACACACACACACACACACACACACACACACACACACACACAGTGCGCGTATTTACCGGGTCACGCCAGGTCAGTGCGGGCGGTGCACGCCATTGGCGGCCGTGTCAGCGGTCGGGTCGATATACCGGCACAGCAAATGTCGTCGACACGCACCGAAAACAGGCGCCGTTACGCCGAGTTACGCCATGTTACGCCGCCGTTACACTGACGTGATGGCGCGGGTCCATCCGAGATAGAAGGAAACAAGCTCAAAGCGGATAGATAGGACAACATCCATTTCGTGAATAGCTTGTTGGTTACGAAAGACTGATGGATTCCAAAGGCCATTCACTGTAAACTCATTTTGACAAGGGGTTGTCGTACAACGACGAGCGTTTGTCAAAAATACTAATAAAGGTTATGTCGAACGACGAATATCTTGTCATAGTTGGTTGAATCAACAGGGCAAACATAAATATCAGCCCCAGCACCTAGTCGACCATTCATAAAATTGACGAGGATTATGGAGGCTATTGTGAAAACTACCAGGGTCTTATTCGTAATATGGAACATAGATTTGCTTATGATTTGTTATTCATATCCTTGCCGAAAGAACCAGCTACACCATTGCAACAATACTGATACATACTTATGTAATCTATGTCCTTGTCGAAGGTATCAGCTACACCTTTGCAACACGGACTTAGTTACGCTAGTTAGACGTGTTAGTAGTAACATACACAAAGCTGTTACTTGTTATATAGGTGGCGCCAAAAACGTTTCCGGCCGTTTCATTTTGAAAGTTTCAGTTGCGCACCAACCGCCGTGCAGTGATGTGGCCTCCTGCGCACTTCCGTGAAAATGGTAGGTAACAGTGTTCGGTCGTTTTTGTCATTTTTTAACCCTAGAACGCCTAGGGGGGGGGGGGTTGTATCAACCCCCCCTGAGGTTTTTTCGAAGTGCACGCTAAACGGCTTGTCGTAGCGGGCTGAAATTTTCCATACCCTCTGGGGCAACCTTTGCGCATCTTTTGCCGAAAAAAAATTGATCGGGTCATGTCAGGTCACGGAGTTATGACGTCATAAGAGGTACAGCCTCCGGCCGGATTTTCACAAACTGAGTGCCAACGCCCGAGGTTTCCTGCCGGTGGTACGGACATCGGTTGATGGATCGTGATGAAACTTCCCATGCATGTTGGGGCAAGTATTGGCTATCATATGGTATAAGAAATTTGACCGGGTCAGGTCAGGTCACGGAGCTATGACGTCACAAGAGGAACAGCGTCCGGTACTATTTTTGAAAAGCGCCCGAACCACTATTTTGCTAATTCTTGTCACCTCAATGGGAATATGCAGCAATATTAGCTTCTATAGGGAGCAAATGGACCTCCCAAATCCAAAAATACAATCAGATTTCAAAAATTTAAATTTTGATTTTTCGAATTTCTGCCGCCGACTG